TGATGATGATAAACTATCGTTACTACTGTTATTACTACTAACGTCATTGTAATTATAATTACTACCAAAACGAAAACTTGCTAAAGAGGTTGGTGTTGTTGGTGATGACATATTACTAGAATGTGGTGGACTACCGATCGTGGTATTTAGAACAACGTGTGGAACTATATCATCTGTTGCTGGTATTGTAGCTGCAAGAATAGGTGATTCGTTATGTGACTCGTTATGTGACATTATCTCGATATTTTTATTTTTTTTTTTGTTTTTTTTTGGGAACAAGGATTTTTGATTGTCTCTCAAATTCTATTTTTGTATAATTGCAAGTTTTGGGAAAATTTGACTGCGCCGAATATTTTACAAATTTGTCGATTTGACTAATGTCAAAATTAAAATCAAGATTTTGTAGCATTGATTAAAACGATTTTATATGAAATAAATGAATAAAATGATTACAAGTTTTTCAAATATTAAAAGTATTAGAGAATAAGACCAATCTTAAAATAGATTTTTAACAAATCATATAATCTTCAATTCTTTCTGTTCGCAAGAACTGAAATAAAATGATGCTAAAGACAGATAAAGAGATTATATATTTGAACCTATTTATATTCTTATAATATCATATACATAATAAGCAAGTCAATTGTGGAGCAAAGTTCACGTCACCAAAAACACTTATTTATACATCTAACTCAATGATTATAGCAATTGGATTATGCCAGCTCAAACCAAGTAGTTAAAATAGGAAGAGGCATCCTCATAATTTCAGTTATAAGTCTAAATTTTTAGTTAAGTTTCTTTTTACATCTATGTTGATGATAGTAGTTGGACTTAATCTTTATTTTCCTTAGTACACTTTTCAGAAGAAAACTCAAAACAATTATACGCATACATTTGATATTTTGTGAAATTGTCGAGATAAAGATAACAAAATGAATGTTAGCGTAATATATTGTAGTGAACACAGGCTGTTGCCTAATGATGATAATTCAAATGATAATTAGAAAAGCTATCATCGAATTTTCTAAACGATTTGAAAATGATCATAATGAATTTGTTAATTAAGATAACAATGTAAGGAAATAATATGATCTATATTTTTTAATAATAATGTTATCATTAACAATAATTAAATCATTTCCTTTGTATCTATTCCGGCCTTAATAACTCACATCAAACTTTTGTGGAAACTTCAGCTTACCAATTATTCAAGACTGGTAACAAAGAGAAACTTTGATTTTATTATTATTTTAGTCCTTCACACCTTACAGAAATATAAAAGCAATTACAGTGAAAATAAATTAAAATATAATGGAATTCAAACATATCCGAATATTTAAATAAAAATTTTTAAATTATTAGATTGAACTTAACGGCGCAACCTATCAAACTGCATTTAAAGTTCACTTCTATCGTTTCTGTTAAAAAATTTATGGAATCTCTGTGGAAGACACCATTTGATAGAATATAACACATATTGTTCATTAAAATATTCTTGATGTATTTATTGAAATATACAAACCTCAACTTGCTATCTTCTTTAGATTTCTGGTTATTAATATAAAAATATAAAGTATATTCATCTTTAGATGTAATATGTTGCTTGCTTATGTGGATTATGTGTGAAGTAGCAATTTTTTAAGATCAGTTGAAGATATTCGAACAATCTCGTTTCCGTTTAACAAGTATAGTGTGTTGTGGAACTAAACGTAGGTATGAACAGAGTGGTTAAGATGTACATAGTATTCAAAGAGAAAAATAATGCATTTGTATTATTTAAATGTTCAAATATACTTTGCTATATTTTTGATTTAATTTGAAAATTTTTTTTCACATTTACTATAAGAAGTGCTTAATCAAAAAGATGGTTTTATTATCTATGAACCAAAAAAGAACTTTTTTTTTCTTGTAATTTAATTACAATCAACTTGTATATTTTTAATTATAATATCCTATAAAGCCCTATAACTAGCCAATAACAATAAATTAAAAGTTTTATATGTTAGATGAAATGGAAAATATAATAATAAAACCAAGCATAATAATACTAACTTGCTGATAATTCCTATTGACACATATACGCTCTTTCTAATATTTATTTGTCACCTAAGATAACGATGAATCTATAAGTGTATTATAGGATAAGTTAATCTATTAGTATGTATAAATTCTGAAATATAATAATTACAATAAATTTACATGCGTACATTTTATTGTAAAAAGCTCTATCAACTTCGTCAAAAAATACTAAAAGTAGATGAAATCCAGGAGTATGCTCTAATATGCTATATTACAAAGTAAAAAAATAAATTGACTTAAAAAATTACTTAAATTATGTTCTTTTGTAGTAACTAAGTTAATCCACATCAAAAAGTATTATTTAGTTCATTTCTTCCAAACCCAATTCTATGCAACAAATTTTAAAAAGCTATAATGTCAAACATTTCGAAAGAACTATCAAATAAATTTCTAAACAAAGTTATTCGATTCCGCTTAATGACTTTCCAAACTTCGTTTCTAGACGAGCTACATAATTTTAATTGACATCTTTATATATACTACTTGTAACAACACAAAATATTATGTTATAACTTAAAGAAATAGATAATAAAGGCTTGTATTTTTAATAATGATCAAGATTCTTTTTTCAAAAAGTAAATGAGAGCTAAAAAAAGAGGTTATTACTGAGGATTTTGCAGATCGCAAGATAATAAAGATCTTTTATTATTATGTTAACTAGAATTTTTGATGTTGAATTTTCTACCTTTTTTCTAAGAATAATAAAATATGGCCGCGTGACAATTCTTTCTGATCGTACACCGCCAGATCTTACAAGAATATATCATAATTAATATATCATAAAAAAGTGGAATAAGATAATAATCTTTAAATCTAATTAATTATATATTTTTGTTGATAAAAAAACAAACTTAGCCTTTTTGTTGTTATTTAATCCTTTCCTTCTGTGAATATCTGCATCCATTAAATATTCATGATAATTATTCAATACATTTGATGTTGTTGATATAACAAACAATTGCATCACCCAAGTAGTAATAATACCAAGGTAGGGTTCCTAACCATAATTATAACTCCATATTCGAATATTCGTAAATCCAAAATTATGAATTTCGAATATTATTTTGGATACTCGTAATTATTATGGATACTCGTAATTATTATGGATACTCGTAATTATTATGGATACTCGTAATTATTTTGGATACTCGTAATTATTTTGGATACTCGTAATTATTATGGATATTCGTAATTATTATGGATACTTGTAATTATTATGGATACTTGTAATTATTATGGATGCTTGTAATTATTTTTGGATACTTGTAATTATTAATTATTTCAGATATTTCAAATACTTTATTTAAAATATTTCAAATACTGGTATTTGTAAATGTTTAAATATTCAACAAATCACAAATGTATCTACTAAATTATATTTGCTATAAAAGAAAAAAACAATGAAAATTTAAGAAAATGGTTGAACTATTTTTAAATTACGTTTCAGAAATACCATCTTCCCACTCATTCAGGTTCTAGGTTAGTCCTTTTGGCAGTAATAATATTTCCTACATCACTAAATAATCTCTCAGAAGCAACAGATGTAGCTGAGATGCATAAAAATTTTTCTGCCAATTTTTTTAAAATGGGAAAATTATTTTTGTTTCCATTCCACCATTTAAAAGAATCAATATCATTACTTACATTACTAGAAAAATAATGTGATATTTCATTATAATTACCAACCACATCATTATCAGGTCGCAATATTTGTTTTAAAATAGAAACATTATTCAAATCATATTTGAAAGTTGAGAAACTCAAGAATGAGAAAGAGTTATTTTATAAATGAAAACGTTTCTATGAGAAAGAAAACGTTTTCTATGAGAGAGAGTAAATGAAAACGTTTTCTATAAGAGTAAATGAAAACGTTTCTGAAAAAATATTTAAATTGTTGTAGCAATATAAGTTATTTTTTTATTATCTTTAAAAAATTTTTATTAGATAATATGATAAAATATAAATAAAATACAAATAAGTTAGTACTATTTGTTATCAATCGATAATCATTTGTATCCAAAATAATTACGAGTATCCATAATAATTACGAGTGTCCATAATAATTACAAGTATCCATAATAATTACAAGTATCCATAATAATTACGAAATAAATTATATACACTCCCTGGACAAAAGTATCCGAACACCTGTTTTTACTAATTACACAAAAACGCACATAATAACTATACATAAAATTTTGACAAAATTTGGCTTGGGTTTTGACGAACATGCATATAAAATTTGATGCTTTTAGAACGTCTAGAAACATTTTAGTTAAAAAAAATACGAAATTCGACCAAAAAAATGATTAACAAAATTTTATTGAAAAATATAAAAAATAAAAAATCCAATATTAATATCGAGTTGGCCATCCATTGCTAGAAATACATGCCTCGATCCTTCTAGGCATGCTTTCTATTAATTTGTGGTAAACTTCATATGGAATATTTGACCACTCTTCTTGTAAAGCGGCTTCCAATTCGTTGGCATTTTTTGGGTATTGTGCCCGCTTATCTAATCGCCTTCCTAGTTCACTCCAAAGATGTTCGATTGGATTAAGATCTGGGGATTGTGAAGGCCAATCAGGTAAAGTTTTAATCTTTTTTTCCTTTATCCACTTTTGAACATCACGTGCCGTGTGCACAGGCGCGTTATCATCTTGAAATGCGTAACACCTGCTGTTAAATTTGTCACTAATATAGGGCAACAATTTGTTTTCTAAAATTTCTATATAATCATGCCTATCCATCATCCCTTCAACTCTAAATAATGGCCCCAGTCCTTTTTCAGAGAAACACCCCAAACCATTATTCCACCACCACCATGTTTGACCGATGGTGTAATGTTTTCAATATTGTACCGTTCACCGACTGGACGCCAAACATGATGGGGACCATCGCTTCTAAAAATTGTAAAGCGAGATTCATCACTCCATATTATCTTTCCCCATTGAGCAACACTCCATCTTCTCCTGCTTAAACACCACTTTAATCGATTTTCTCGCTGTTTTTCTGTAACACGTGGTTTTACAGCAGCAACCCTGGAGAAATTCCAAGGCTATGCAAGCTCCTACAAATTGTTTTAGTCGAAACCACAAGATAGTTTTCTTCAGCAAATTTTTTCTGGATCATATTTGCTGACATGCGGTTATTTGTTTTTACTAGCACTTTTAATTCGTTTTGTTCAAGTTCATCTAAAGCTTTTGGTCTACCACTTCTTGATGCACTTTTAACATTTTCTAGGTTTTTATAACGAGAAATGGTGTCTTGAACTGTGCTTCTTGGGATTTTTAGCTTCTTGGCGATATCTCTTACACTCTTGCCACCTTCATGAAGGCCTAAAATTTTCCCTTGGATAAATTCTGACAATTCTTCGTTTTTTGGCATTTTTAAGATTAAAAATTTTTTTTATCAATCTTGATTTTTACAAAATGCGATTTTAATTACTAATTTTTTAATTTTATTATAAATTATTTATGCTAGCTACAACTACAAAATTTTGCATACATATTCTAGATAACCTAAGCTACAATTGATATAAATTTTTATTTTTATTATTATGTAGGATTTTGGGTAAATTAAATAAACAAAAAATGATATCGCGATTTTCGTCGAATTTCGTATTTTTTTAACTAAAATGTTTCTAGACGTTCTAAAAGCATCAAATTTTACATGCATGTTCGTCAAAACCTAAGCCAAATTTTGTCAAAATTTTATGTATAGTTATTATGTGCGTTTTGTGTAATTAGTAAAAACAGGTGTCCGGATACTTTTGTCCAGGGAGTGTATATTCGAATATCCTTGAATAAATTGATTTTCGAATATTCGTAAAAAAATTTATTTTCGGTTAGGAACACTACATTTATTTTGAAACTATTTGAAAGTTTGAATAGAAAAAGGCACAACGATAATACAATTTAACGTGTATAAAAAAAGAAAGATAAAACTACAAAATAAAAAATAGTTGCATTTAATACTGTAATGGTAGCGCTCAGTGACATTGCCCTTTTTTAGTATTTTTATGGTTTGTCACGCACAATTTATTTAATATTAATCGTCACAATTTTATAGAGATTGTTATTTGTCGCGAGCTGCCATCTTTATGGACTTTACGGTAAATACTTAATACTTTTAATTATTGGGGATTTTGAAATTAATTTTTTGTTAAGGGAGATCCTTGGTAGCTTTAAATAGGAAAAGAAACTCTTCGTCAAAAGTATGAATTGAAATAATAATAATAATCGTTAAATTGATATTTTTGATAGCTATATCCATCTTTAAGAGTTGCAAGAAATAATGCAGAATAGAAATGGAATATGATAATAAATAGGTACCTAGCGTTAGAATAATTGAAGTGTGACGATGAAGGCAATAATATAAAAAGCAAAGGTTATAAATGAAATTTTGGATAAAAAAATTCAATCAGAGCATCAAAAACCGAAATTAAAGCAAAAAAGATTTTTATTTATTATTTATTTTAAAGCACAGCCTTTTACTTTTATATACATAATCATAAAAATATTGAGCGTCAAAAAATATTTTTAAAAACATGAAAAAATCAAAAATCAAAAAAACTAAATGTATATCGAAAAAAAAAGGAATTGTAAAAATGTTATTTTCTTATTCTCTTAATTCAGCTTTTTTGTCACCAATGGACGCTTCATGCTGAGGATCAAGTTCTTCTCCTGTACGTTCTTTATGAAGTTCTGATAATTTTTCTGCGGCATTTACTCTTTTTGGGGTAAAGAAAACGTGATTAGTAGATTTTTAAAATTATATTGATTTAAAAAAAAGTATGGTTAATTACCTAGCTTCGTGAGAAACTCTAGGATTATGGGCAACAGCTTTGTATGATTTTTCACTTCTTTGTTCAGAAGAATCAGATTTTACAGGCTACACAACAAATTGATTAGAAATTAGAAATGTTTAAAAAAGAAAGATTTTGTACTAATATTGTGAATAATAATTACTTGTGCTTGGGATTCAGGAATGGAATTTTGTTCGTCAGACATTTTTCAATTTATTATTATTAATTAGAGTTTTGTTATTAGTGTTTTCTTTTTTGTTGTTGTTTTTGTAATAAGTGAATTATTTATTATTTTTTATTGTTTTTTCGGTAAAAAAAATTGGAAAACCACAGGTCTTTTGGAAATGGTATTTATAAGAAAATTTTTCGAATGGTTTGGATAAACCATGACATAATAATTAAAAATGAAAGGATCTTTTACGTCATTACTTGACGTTGAGATCTTCGCAGATTTTTTTTAACCTTGAGAATTTTTAAGACCAATAAAAATGATGTTATGATTATATCATTTCTTTCTATAATTTTCTTTGTCATCAAAAATTACCTAATAATTACTCAAAAATCACATTTAAAAGATTTCCTTTTTTTTATCAGAGATGATAGTTTGTTTATTGATTATTAACTAGTTAAATATTAGAGGAATATAACAGATAGATTTTTAATTCATGTATAATTTTGTCATAATGATTCAAGGTGATCCCAAATCTTATTAACGTTAAAAAGTTCTTTACAATGAGATAAAATGAGATATACATGACTTATTTTTTGTCTTAGATTTAAAAATTTTCAGTGGGTGGGTAAATTAATTATCACATGTGGTATTTATCCGTTTTTGTACAGAACTTTGCTGACCAGTTTCCTAAATTGAGAACGCAATTAATTCAAACACGAAGATCTTACCTATAAAGGAGAGAACTAAATCTTTCAACACATATCAGATATTAATAATATGGACAGCAAAAATAGCCGGATTTTTATAAAACATGCTTTTTAGAAAAAGGGTTTCAGACCGCAGATCTTTTAAAACAGCTATATAATAATATGTAATTATGATGTCATTACCTCAACAATGACCAAAAATCAAAATTCGGCCTTTTCTGCTGTCCACGTCCCATATATGGTAATATTCCATCTTCCATCTTCAATAATCGTAATCACCTTCTTAATCATCTTCACAATCAATATATAAATTCAGTTGAGCAATAATAGATTTAATGAAAACAGGAGTTACTATTTTGTATTTTATTAATATAATTAATCTAAGGCAATTATTATAATCTTTTTACACAAGAATTTGGCGTTGATGATACAATAATGGATAAAAAAAATTACATTTGAATCATTAAACATGAAATATTGTTATAAATCAGCATGTAGATTTTTATTTGCTTACTTTATTCAACAAGAAACAAGCATTTTAACCTTTAAACAATTGGGGCGTGTAATGGTGGTGGTGTTGACAGATGTTGGAGACTCAAGCTATCGATCAGCTAACATAATCAAAGTTTTATGTGATTATTTTCATCATTTTGATTTTATTGCAGAGAGTTTGTAATGAGTACTTTATTGAATGTACTGAGGATTAGATCTAAACAAATTATATTGTAAAAACAATGTAAAATTCTATAATTTTTTTTACGCAATAAATAATCAAGTCAAATTATCTAGTTGGACATTTACTTCCTTTGAAATCTAATATAACGATGACTATCGACTTTTTGGATGTTTCTTTCCAGAAATAAAACCACCGTTCCCATATGCAAACTATATCTAATAAACGATATAGAAAGTGCCAAATCAGAATTAGGGAAATACATTATCGCATGAAAACTGCCAAGGCTAAATTTTTGTCACGTTGCGCCAACAACTTATTGAAAAATTTTAAACAGGATCATAATATTCAAATACGCCGGGTCAAAAAATCTCGGTCATCAACCTTTAGAAATTTCACAACATCATCACAATGTAATGAGTAAGTTGGGTTCAGAATTCAAATCTGTCATTGAATTTACTTGGAGATATAAGCAATCACCCAAAACACATGGATGTGTTTGAAGGTACTGGTGTTAATGACATAATCAAGACCATTGTGTTAGGGAATCTAGTTGCACATCAGGAATTATTGACGAAAGAAAGAGATTCATCATCATGTTGGATTTTACTTTGGAATTACATTAAAGAAAATTATCTTTTTTACTGTTTTGTTTGGTCTATAAGCTTTAACTATTTATTTATAAAATGCCGTATTACGGTCTCTTTCTAAGAATTAGTGGGGGGGGGGGGGGGGGAGAAATTAAGTGATAATAATAATAATATAAAATAAAAAAAAACTATCTGAAAGACTTGTCTAAAAATTAATAATCATCTACTATATAGATTAAAAATAAATCTTGATGTACTCTATAATTTGAGAACGACACACCACACAGGTTTCAACTTTCGATGCACATTTCCCACATGCAACAAAATGATAACAGGGCGAGAAACAATGAGTAATTGGTTCCTCGAAGCAGATCTTACATTTGATTACTTGTTTTGCTTTTTCACCTTGTTCTTTTTCTCTAAGATTTTTCAAATCTTCATTTTCCTTTATCAAAGTTCGAATAATTTCATTATATTTATAAACCTTATTAACACATGCTTCACTAATCTTTATCTCCCTATCCAATTCTAATTCTAATTTTCCCACGTTTTTACTGTACATACTTTTCAAGCGGGCTATTTCCTTTTCTTGATCGCTAGACCTGGACACAAATTGTTCAATTTTTTCATCCTTTTCCAAATGCTCTTTCTCTAAAAATGAGATTTTTTTTAATAAATCTTCCTGTACTGACAGTTTTTCTTTTCCTTTATTCATATAAGAGGTACATTGGTGGTTGTCAATCTTTTCTTTTAATTCTCTTATTTCATATGTTTGACTGTTAACGACATGTTCAAGTCCTCCAATTATAGATTCGTTGATAGCACATTGTGAGTCTAGTTTGACATTACTTTTCATCAAGTCATTATTGATCGTTTCTAAACGATCGAAAGAATAATCTGACATACTTTTATAATTTTGTAATTTTATTAACTTATGATTTAATTGTTTGTTATAATCTTCAAGTTTGATATTTTCATCAATGGATATTTTTTTACTTGCTTCCAGTTGAACCTTTTCTTGGTATAGTTTTGCACAATCTGTCTCAAGCCTATTATTCTGGCCTTTGGTATCATTTAATTGCAATTTAAGGTGTTGGGCTTCATTTTCGGCCGTTTTCAACTCTTCAATAAGTTTGTTAAGATGCTTGTTTGAATCATTAAGACATAATTTCAACATACTAATCATAGAACTGTCTTCTTGTTTCTGTTGGTTTGATTGTCTCAATTTGTCAAGTTCATCATTAAGTTTCGAAATTTCAGATGCCAATTTCTTACATTCTTCCTTATAGTTATTAATGTATTCCGATTGTTTCAATTTGTCAAGTTCATCATTAAGTCTCGAGATCTCAGATGCCAATTTCGTATTTTCTTCCTTATAGTTGTTAATGTATTCTGATTGTTTCAATTTGTCAAGCTCATCATTAAGTCTCGAAATTTCAGATGCCAATTTCATATTTTCTTCCTTATAGTTATTAATGTATACATCAAGACTATCTTCATTATTATTATCTATAACAATACTATCATCTTTAAAATTATTATCATCATCATGATTACTCACAATGATACTATCGTCCTGACCATTATTAATACACATTTTATCACTATCACCCGCATCACCAATATCACTTACATTATTACCATCATTCTCGCCATTATTATTACACATGATAAGACTATCTTCAACTGCTTCATGACTACTTAGAATAATACTATCATTAACTACATCATCTACATTAATACTATCATCCTCACCAATATTAGTACTCGTGATAATACTATCATCGTCATCACCATGATTGCTCACGTTAAAGTCATAGTTATTATTATTTATGGAAACACTGTCTTCCTGACCATCTTTATTATTCACAGCGATGCTATTTTTCTCATAATCTTTAATACCCATGATAATATTGTCTTTCCCATTAATATTACCACTATCCTCATTATTACTCTCAACGCGATCCTCCTCCTCTTCCTCCTCAAGATTTAGTAATTCTTTTTCTTGAGCTTCAACGAAGTATAAAAGTGTCTTCTTATAAATATAGAATATATAAGCACTGAGTAAAAGTTTAACGAAAAAATAAATCATTTTATTTATTTATTATCTTTTTTTAGTTGAGGAAGGTTAAGATTGGCGGTGTAGGAACTTGATTGTGCCATGAATAAATTTTTTTGCAGATAATTTCCAAAATTGCATTTAGTAATTTTGGTATTTCGAACTATTATATACTATCCTTAATTTCCAAGAAAAATGGAATGCCATTTTTTTTAGGTTAGGTTCAAATTAGAATTTTAATTTTAAACATACTAATACGTAAACTTGATAAGTCTCAGTCAGGGATACTTATCAAGTAAACCGAGTTATCAAATTTCATAACAATAAAAATTTATCAAAATTTATAAAACTCCCAAGGTAGATAGTAGGTTACTTTAGAGAAGCATTTTGTTTTTTCTAATTTGATGTTGCAAGTCTCATTTCTGATACTATTGAACTATTTACCTTATATTGGAATTCTGTTGCAAATTATATTTGATATTAGAATACCCATATTTTTGTCCTCTTCTTCTGGTGCTTCTTGTGCTGCAGCAGTTACCTCATCATCATCATTAATCTTCCAGCCGTTTCTATTTTATAATCAATTAATTAGTAAATAAGCATACACAGCCAAAACTGAATCCTCAGTTATATAAGTATAACCTTGTTACAACAAAATGGCTGGGCATATAAGAAAATTTCGTTGAAACAAGATTACTAATCGTGTTTCAACAAAGTTTTCTTATATGTGTAACAAAATTTTTAAAAAAATTCGTTAAGAATTTAATTATAATTCGTTGAACAAGGTTTAATTCCTTGTATATAACGAGAGTCAGGAGTATTGCCCACTGCAAACGAGCTTTGATTTCATTCGTGTAACAAAAACTACCCACCAATCAAAAATTCGAAAATAGTCATGTGAGTAAATATCACGTGAAACCGACTTATAGGATGATAATTATTACTAATCACGATAAGCTTTTTTAATCCATGAAAATATCAAATTTTGTTCCACGGATGATATTATTATTATAGCGTTAATTAGGAAACCGTGGTGATAATTAATGATATTAATACCTTTGGTTTCCTGTAAAATAACTATTATAAAGATTGACCAACCGACTTATCAAGGATTTTTTTCAAGATTTTCTTTTGAGGTTTAACTTCCTGACATTATGCAGTCTACCCCATATGGTTAATTTATAATTTAATTCCATTAAGTAATCAAGAAAATTTTAACAATGCATTCCCAAGTATTAATTTCAAAAAATTTTACGCACATAACAATTATAGAAAAGAATTTTTTATTTGAATACATCGTTCAAATAAGATGACGATACCCAGAGCTGGAAATTGGTAATTATAACTGATCACTTTTGCAACATAAAAAAAGTAGAGAAATAATATCAACTTGTCAATTAAAATTGTATGAACACAGACTTTTACTGTTAGGCATTTTGAAGAAAATATTTCTATCTTGCTTTAAAACTCGACAGTTTTTTGACTTATCTTCTTCTTCTTTTGAACATATTTGGTATTAATATCTGATTCATTTTGTGATAATGGTCGCTTTTCTACTTGACTATTTACTACCAAGATATCATTGCCATTATGATCTTTAACAACTTGACTCTTATTATTGTATTCATTAACAATAACACTATCATATTCATTACTATTATTATGTTCAACATTATTATTATGATTTTCTAATTTATTAGGACGTTTTACTTGAGCTTCGTCTATGCTAATAATTGATGGTGACCTAGAGCTAGAAGATTGAAAAGAAATTGATATTGAAGATCGTTGTTGACTGATAATGTAATCAAAATCTTCACTGGACAGCTGTGATAGACAACTGGACGATGATTCCGGCGATGAGATTGTAAATGGTGATGAAGGTGCTAATGGTAACATTTGTTGCATCGAAGGATGTAATGGAGGTGATCCTTGTGATACTGAGAGCAATGATGAATCTGATTTTGACTTGATAGATGACGACAACAGTGGAAAAATTTGTGTTGATTTCAATGGTGGTGATTTTAATGGTGATGATTGAGCCATTATTCTTTTATTATTGATATTATTTTTATTGTCATGATTCGTTGATTTCGATTTCGATTCAGACTCAGACTCGGACTCACTTGAAGCGGATAAAATCTTTTCTTCAACATTATTATACTCCTCATCGCTGCTAATTTCTAATTTCTTGTATTTTCTTTTTTTAGAATAAAAAGTTTCAATCGTAGGATATGGTAATGATCTTTGTTGTTGCTTTCTTACAATCAAAGTATCATTGTAATTTTCCTCATCGTTATCTTCATTTCCGGCTGCTACTTCTGGTACTTCATCGTCATCTTCATTATTTTCAATTAGTTCATAGGATGGATATAACGGGAGTGATACTGGCAGTAAACTTGGATCGGGAATTTCATAAATTTTAGCACTTTTATTGGTGGATTGTGACATTGATGATCTATCTAAATTGTTGTTGATGACGTTGGCAGTGCGTTTTCCATTATATGAATTATTACTTTTGATAATAGTTTTATTTGATCCTGATGAACTTTTGGTTCTATTCTTAGTAAAGGTAGCTGATGATGACGATGAAGTTGATGATGATGATGATTTACCAAATTTAATATGTCGTAATTGCTCTTGTTGCTGATTACTTTGATTTTTTGGTTGTTGTTCTCTCAGATTATTTTGAGTTGTTGATTTTTCCTGTCGTTGTTTATCCTTTTGATGATGATCTTGAGTTTTTGGTTGTTGATGTTGATTGTTCTGATGATCTGGAGCTTTTGGTTGTTGATATTGAACTCGTGATTTTTGTTGTTGTTTTCGGTTTCTTTGAGTTTTTGACTGATCTTGTCGTTGTTGATCCTTTTGGTGATGACATTGAGCCTCGGATTGTTGATTATCTTGATGATCTGGAGTTTTTGGTTGCTGATGATCTTGATCCTGTGACTTTTGTTGTTGTTTTTGAATTTTTGACTGATCTTGTCGTTGTTGATTCTTTTGGTGATGACCTTGAGCTTTGGATTGTTGATTATCATCGGCAACCAAAAATTCTGGATCATCAAGATCTTGAGCCTGTGACCTTTGTTGTTGTTTTTGACTCCCTCGAGTTTTTGGCTGATCTTGTCGTTGTTGATCTTTTTGACGACTTTGGGTTTTTGTTCGTTGTTGATTTTGCCGTCGTTCATTATTTCTTTGATTATTTTGAACGCTTGGTAGTTGTTGATTTTGTGCTTGTTTTTGTATTCGTACATTCGAAAGTCCTTTATAATCAGCTGGATTTTGAAGCTCATGTTTATTTACAGAATCAAGTACTATTTTATATGACATTAATTTGTCCATTTCAGTTTGATTTTGAACAGTTTGTAATATTGACAAATCACTCAAAATCCAATGTGCATTCTCTAATTTATCTACAATATTTCCTCCATTATTCTATTTTTATTTATAATCATTGTTATTATTAACAAAGTAGATTTATTATGATAAATTAATATTTTTGGCGTTTTTAACGCCCTTTTACCATGCAATAATCACCACCATCATCATCATCACATTGATACACACCTCTATAAATCGTCTGATATCCATACTGTCAGGTACATTGCTTTTAATATAAAATAAAATTTTAACACCATTGATGGTAAAAATTGACATTTTTTTCTATTGTGAACAAATCAATTTTATAAAACAAAAAATAAAAAGGCATTTATTTGGACGCAGCAGATTGATAAAAACACGTGGGATGATCAATTTTCAAAAAAAATTAATTGACATTCTAAAATTACCTAGGGGTGTGGGGTTCAACAAGAATGTTACACGCTAGTGCAGTTGACTCTGTTTATACCGAACCCCCTGTCATGAGAATATAGCCAGCTAGATGTGTCATGTGTTGGCAACATATATAATTTAATTTGGTTCAATAATATTTATCAGAAAAGCTTATAAGAGTTATTTTTAGTAATATGAAATTATAAAACATTCTCAAATATAAATAAAAATCTTATCAATCTATCCAGAAGAAGCAATGAATGGAAATAAAAGAAACAAATAAAAGTAACAAAAGTATAAAGAATTATGAAATATAATTTATGCATTGCTATCAAATCATCTGGAAATTTGAGGATATTTATAATAAAGTATTAACATTATTAATCACGCGAATTCTTTTTTCTTACAAAAAAGTCATGACATAATATTATTAATACTAATTAATAATATGTAAATGCAATATAATTAATTTGACAATAGTTTGATTGAATGATTTTTTGTTCTGAGTGGCAATGGTTACGTTTTTTTTGATATTCTAAATGTTTAATCAAAAACGAAATTTTGCATTATGTTACACATGATATTACATGTGTTCATGTGAAAATTTGTTATAGGAAGAGCAAATTAAATAAGAAACTTCAAAAAAGGTGAGTTCGGATTCGTTATAAACAGATTTATTAATTATAAAAATTCGGTCATGGCGATTTTGATTCGCTATATCCAGAGTTCGGTATAGCCAGGTTCGATATAGCCAGAGTCAACTGTAATTCACAAAATTTTACCATTTTATTGATCCAAAAAATTTTCGTTCCTTGAGGTGAAAGAGAAGTAGTGGTCATGTTTAATAAAATAAAGCTTTTTGGTTTTTCTTTATTGTAATTAGGAAAGATCTTTTAAGGCTTTGAAAAAAATTTTTTTTTATGATTATATTTATTGGAAATATCTTCTAAAATATGTTTCTACCAGTTTTATGGCGTTCTACCTTTCTTTTTAACAATATTTTTACTATCTTATGATCTGATCCTCGTATATCTTGGAAAAGAAAATAAATATAAATAATTTTTTATATCAAATAAATATCTTGGGGGTTTTTTTGGAGTCACGTTTGTACAATCACTTTTTCAATTTTTTAAGAAAACGAAATCATACCGTGTAACATTCTTGTTGAACCCCCATACCCCTAGAAATTACTACTAATTTACCATGTGACACTGGAAGAAAATATGATTGGCTAAATTTTATGCGTTGAAAAAAAAATTTGGTTGAAAAACCTGGTGAAAGTTTTATATATTAAATAGTCATACATATACAGTGTGTTACAAAAAAAATTTAATAACTTTACCAAAACAGTCTGATCCGCATCAAATAAAAATTCAAAACAAAGCCTTTCTTTATTAGATTTAGTCTGTTTTATCTTTTAACCAAATCAAATAAAAATTTTTTGTGTAATTTGCTAATAAAATGACACAATCTACAAAAGAACAGCAACGTACAACCTTATTATATTATTGGAATCAGGGGATATGTTCTGCTTGTCAATTACATAATATTACGAACATCCCACTCTCAACTATTTATTTTAATATTGTAAAGTTGAAAAAAAATGGTAATGTGGAACATAAAGGGGTAATGGTAGAAAAAAGAAAATTACTGCGGAAGCATTGTGTGCAATCGGACAATATATTCATAGAGATTCTTCTATTTCTTTGAGGTCTTTGGCTAATAAAATGTTAAATAAAGGAATAGAGGTCTCATATGTAACAGTATTAAGGCATTTGGAAAGGATCAGATATAAGAAAAATTTGCCAAGAGCCACCCCAATGCTAACAATAAGGCATAAAGAATGTCATGTGGAGTGGGCACAAAATCATCTTAATGATAATTGGGGGAAACCACTATTTTTGGATGAGACAGCTTTCCAGCTTTACTGAAACACAATTGAAGGATGGTATAAGAATGTAAGACCCCATTCGCCCAATGCCAAAAGATCGCACCAAAATTTTTGCTTGAGGTGGCTTTTGCATCCATGGAAAGACCAGTCTTTTTTGCTTCCAACAAATTATGAATGCAGAATTTTATGTTGAAATATTGGAGAATCATCGCCCAGAGATCCAAAGAATGTTAGGGGATGATTGGCAGTTTCAACAGGATAATGATCCCAAACATACAAGCCGCTGAGCCAAAACATTTCTTCAAGAAAACTTTCCTGAAGTTATGGATTGGCCATCCAACAGTCCTGATTTAAACCCAATAGAAAATTTGTGGGCTATTGTTAAGAGGAATGTGGAGAAGAGAATGCCAAAAAATCTGGCGGAATTGGTGCAGTTTATGGCTGAGGAGTGGGATGCAATTCCTAATTCACTTCTAATTAGTTTAATTCATTCAATGAAATCAAGATGTGAACTGGTCATTGAAAATAATGGCGAAAGGATTTCTTATTAAAATATTATCAATAAAAATTATGATTTTAAGCTATCAAATGAGCCATTTTTCACACAAACTAATACAGTAGTTGTTTCACAATGTTAATTTAAAAATTTCCAATTTTTTTTGTAACACACTGTATATACAACGCGATTAAATTCGTGTAACATCGAAATCCCTTTTTGATTTTTTTTTCCCAACACAAACATCAACAAATCATTGCAAAATTACATAAAAAATCATTACTGAAAATTGGTTTAAATAAAAAATATTTGGTTAGAAGAAAAAAACCATATACACACACACACGTACGTATAATTAAAAATAACATTACACATACCGTTCTTCCAAAATTTCATGGATAGCATGAAATGTGGTTTTTGTTAAATCATCAATTTTTGCTTTGTGTCGTGGAATCTGATTTTCTATATAATTTTTATAATCCTTTTTCTGTTTCTTTAATAAATCTATAGCAATAATTAAAAAAATATATTTACATTTATAAATAATAAATAAATATATAATCAATTATGAACAGATATAGATACCTTTTAAATATTCAATAGCCACTTGCATACTTTCAATTGTTTTTGTATAAGAGTCGTTTTTATTGCAATTTATCATAAGGTTTCGTACAGAAGACAACCAATTTTTTGCTAAGTTTAAATAAATAATAATATATTAAATAAATATGTTTGTAATAAAAAAATAAAAAAATCCCATCAAATAATTACCAATCATATTCAGTTCATAATAGTGCGGTAGAAAGTTTTTATTCATTATGAATTGTAAATTTTTGTACATTGTACATTCGGATTTTAGTTCTCGTAACATCATATAAATGCATTCAGCGCCAAGATACTTTGGACTACGAATAATATCTTTAACATCTTTTAAAAAAGGATCATCAAGCGTTCGATGAATTTCAAGAGAGCCAATATGATGAATTTCACTAAAAAAAACCTTCCCTAATTTAATACTTGAATTTTTAAATACATAACATATGTCTAGAAGATTATATGAAAAAAAAGTGAGATGAATATACTTTTCATAGTAGAGTTGAACAGTAATCTTCAAATCTAATTTTTGAAATCTTTCATTTTCTTTCATCATCATGCAATCAATTCTTTTGTAAATCCATTCAAAATCGTGAGAAAAAGGACAAAGAACTCTTTTGATATATTCTGATACTTCCCTTAATTGATTGAAAAAAGTGGTTATAGTCTGATTGTTAATTAAATTTAATTGTTCTATTTGACTTTTTTTCAATTCCTTTGAGTTTTTAAAAAAAAAATTAGTAAATAGTATAAAATAAAATCATAAAATTATTATATTAAATACTAATAATTAAATCTTTACACTTACAATAATTTCATTTGAATTATTGACATGTTCACAAATCATTTTCAATCCATCATCTATGCATAATACATTTTGACATCGAAGTCTAAGATCATTTACACATTTATCAAGAACATCTAAAGTATGTTTCTCTGCCTCCAATTCTACTTTTGATTTTATTAAAGATCTGAAAAGACAAATATATGAATTTGTAAATATATAATGAACCTTTTTTTGTCATTAATACCAAAGAAAAAAAATAGGCACATACATGATTCGATTAGTCATAGAGGGATCATGTTTAAATTGATTATGAATAGCAATCTCAATTGAATTTTGCAATTTTTTGGCATGTTCTTTCACTGCAAAAATTTCATTGTAAGTTGCTTCAGTTTCAATAAATTTGGTGATATGATTTTCTTTATGTTGATTTACAAGATCTTGAATATCCTGTGTATTTCTTTTCAAATATATTTCTAAAAATTGTTTTTTTACCCGGCTAATATTGAAAGTGTCAAGAATATCACAATCAATTGATCATAAAGCCATATAGAAAAAATAAATTTTTTAAAAAATTTTTTACCTAATATCTTTTGATGTTGATCTTATTACACTCAGTACCGATTCTAGCAATACTTTTGGTGATATCAACCGAATTAGTGCCTAATATATATATGATTAATTAGAAGAAAGAAAAACAAACAAACAAACATTCAACTTCCATGGAAATACAAAAACCTCAATAGAATTCGAGATTTCATTTTTTAATCTGTGATCTGTTGATTCATTGCTATATAAAAAAAATTCATATATTTCAATTTTAAACTAATAAAAACAACATAGTAACAGGAAATTTGTAAATAAAAGTAAAAACCTTAATATAGTATTTTGAACCAAGAATTTATGATTATCACAGATTTCTCTAATCTTGATTTTATGTGTATTTATTAATATTGTTCTCTCGTTTTCTTTTGACTCTGTATCAATTTCATCTCTTAAAGTGATCCTAGATTTAAAGTTGCTCAAAAGCCTCTGGTAATTGGCATCACTGTGATTTATTTGAATGCATTTTTCACGAAAGGCATTTTTCACAAGCAGTTTATTCTTTTTCTCAAAAATCTGATCTTTTACAAATCGTATTTGTGATTCTTTAAATCATAGAAAACAGCAATAGTTTTTCCTTAAAGTCAACAACTTTATCAATGATGCAATTAATCAATAAAATCATGAATATGGATAATAAATATATTTACCAAAATCAGATATGCGAGACGACAACTGTTCAATTTGTTGATTATCTGATTGTACTTTGTCAATAATTTTTATCAAATACTTTTCAAGCTTTATTTTACGCTGTAAAAGGCTTTCTTCATTTGCATCAATAGAATCAAAAGTTGTGGTTGGTTTCGCGGTTGAATTGTGTGCACTACGTATAGTATTATGTTCGAAACTTAGTTTACGTTTTGATTTAGGTAATCTTGTTGGTTCACTATTCATTCAAAAAAGTTAAATGTTAATGGTTTTAAGTTATAAAATAAAAATTTGAACATTAAAATCAAATATGTTTTAGGCATTTACACAATTCTTGATTTCTGAAGTTGCCTTATGTGACTTTAATGAAGTACATGTTTTTATTTAGTAAATGTTTATAATGATTTAAACAGAGATAATATGAAATTTTTGTATATTTACTCTTTTGATTTGATGTGTTTTAATGAAAACATTAATATTGGCAAAATTTCACCTTTACATAGCCTATATATAAGGCAAAAATATGTGCATACAAGATAAGTCAAAATATAAAAATTAATGCATTGAAGATTAATTTTTTAACCTTTGTATATCTTCCTTTTTCAATGGTTGTTCCATATTATCGTCAATTAAAGAAGTGGAACGTCCCGGTCGATACCCAAGTTCATCTTTTAACCAAATTAGAATATCATCGCTACATGAGAAATCACTAGTTTGTGATTTGAGCTTTGCGTTTGTTAATCTAATTTTTTTTGGCATATTTTAAAAGAAAAAATAACAAAACACGTAAACATTGAAAATCCTATATTTTTTGCCGATCTTATTTTACAACTATATAGTAATTCGTATCTTGTGGCTTTTATCTTTTGACGAGGCACAAGGAACAATTTCAATTGTTTTTGAGACATTTTTCAATAAAACAGAGGTTCTTGTATGGTATTGGATAACCTTTATACCCCAACTTATTATACGCCTAATACACAAAGAGGCAAAACATACTCGTGGCATCCTTATGAAAATTGCTAAACAATATCCTCAAGTGAGTTATATATTCTTCAATTTTAGAAAATAAATAAATGTTTAATTATTAGTGAATGTAAGAATTTTTTTTAGACATTATATTTTCAATTAAGAAAAGCAAGAGAAGAATATTTTTTGGTGAAAAAACAAGTGGCATTGCTCAAACACAAGCTTGTGCAGCACAATTATCATCAACTATTGCTAATAATCCAGGAGCATCATCAACACAATTAACAATCCTGAGTTTCTTCAACATCACAAATTGATTCTAATATTGCAAACATTGGAAATGTACAACAACCAATCCCACAAAAATGTTGGACAGAGTAGCTCTAATCAAGGAAGACAGTCCATCTGCTCAAATTAATATTCTTGGAGTTAATACCAATCAATCGGATCAAATGTCTTCTCAACCTCAAAGTCTTGCCATACAAGAGTTAATGTTCTAAGTATGTCAACGCCTCCAACTTTTTCCAACAATATCACAATACAAAATATGCAAAACATTAATTCGTAATCCGTGAAACAACTGCAAAAATTTGCCGATCATTAATATGTTTTTGTGGCGATCAGTGTTGAAAATTCAGTGGGAGGGTGTAACGTTATACCATAATTATGTGTGCATGAAAATAATTAAAATTTGTCACACATGCAATTAAAAATTGTCATTATAAATACCAGACTTGTTATCAAAAAATTTTTTTTTTTATTTGATTTAATTTAATTGAAACTTGTTTAATTTTTTTCAAATATATTAAAATGTCCAACCAACCAATGGAAGTTGAAATCATTAATTTGTCAGATGATGAATTAAATAATGGTGATCAAACTAGAATCTCTGAAAATATAGAACCTAAAGAATCACATATTAGGAAAACTGCTGACCTTAAGTGGTTTGATGATTATCCATGGTGAGAACTGAATATGTTAATGGAAATACATTGTTATATTGTAGAATTTGTAGAGAATGCAATGGAATAACAACATTTGCAAAAGGTACACCTTTGTTAAGAATAGATAAAATTAGAGATCATATGAGAACCTCTGAACATAAAAAATCTGAAGAATTGCTTAAACCAAATGCTAGAAGACAATTAAGCACAGAGAAATTAGGAATTATTTCTTTAATGAGAACTAGTTATTTCTGCTCAAAAAATAATATTTCAATGAACAATTATCCTGGCTTATGTAGTTTAATATCACTACAAATTGAAAATAGCAATGAATTAATAATTAGTGATAACGCTTCTACTTTGAAACCTGCTTCTTTGGAAAAACCATCACCATCTAAATCAAAATATGGGAGCTATAACAATCATATATCTGGGTTTGATTTTTTAGATAGTATTGCTTATACAATTAAAAAATCTCTCTTTGAAGAATTAAATTCCTCAGTTTATTGGAGCATAATGATTGATGAAACCAATAGTGTTGATAATGATAAATATTTAGCAATAGTAGGAAAATATATCATCAACAACATACCATACATGAGATATTTAGGTATGGTTAACCTAGACTCAACTGATGGTGAAAGCATATTTGATCAAATTAAGTCATTTTGTGCATCAAAGGGAATATCTTATCACAATATTATTCATTTAGGAAGTGATGGTGCTTCTAACATGATTGGTATGAAATTGATGAAATCATTATTTAATTGTGCAAAAATTAATTTTTTTTAACTAATTCATTTTAATTATTAGGACACATGAGCAGTGTTGCAGCAAGATTTAAAAAAATTAACCCATTAATGACTTCAAACCATTGTATATCACATAGGCTTCATCTAGCTGGGAAAAGATGCTTCAGAAGAAGTTATATATTTTAAGAAATACGAAAACTTTAAAAAAATTGTATAGTTATTTTTCAAAGTCTTATAAAAGACAACAAATCTTAAAGATGATGCAGGTAATCACCATTTTTTCATCCTTATATTCTTTTTATCAATACTTTTTATTAATAATTTTTACTGTTAACTAGGAAGTTAATGAAGAACCATCGCTTGTAATATTAAATATGTGTGACACTAGGTGGTTGTCATTTTCAAATTCTGTGAGTAATTTACATAAAATCACAAACTCTGTATTATCTGCTCTAAATGAAAATATTGAAGAAGGAGATAAGCTTGCAGAAAATTTATATGATCAACTAGATGATGTTTTTATTTCAGCAACAATGTACCTTGCTGATTTAACAAATATTTTAAAGAAATTAATCAATACATTTCAGTTAGAACATTTATCAATATCTCATTTTAA